CCTTGGCCTTAGCTCTCGCCCTGTGACGTGATCGTGTGCACTTGGGGGATTCAAGAAGGAAAAATCAAGAGCCTGCAAGGAAGGGTCGTTGTGCTAATACCTTCCAGATGGTGATATGAAATGGAAGATAAGATGCTGTCGCCCATCTGGCCCGACAGGACGTGGCGTGTTCGGTCTGGATCTTAGGGGTGTTATCACCCGCCGTGACTGCCAGGTCACTCTGTTGTTTGTCCTTGGACAGGGGCTTAATTTGGCTACTCCAGTGGATCTCTGAAATGCAGTTCGCTGTCAGGTCCATAGGGGGCCTGCCAGGAGGGACTCAGAAGCCCTGACCAGGGAGTCCACAGGCGACAGTTAGTGACAGCATCTCACCACGGTGGGACTTGCAGGGCTGTCAGGCTGAACTCAGGCCCTGCATCGATATTGTCCGTGTTTCTTGGGTCCAGTGTGGGTGGAAACGGCATCCGAGGGGCTGGCTCGCCAGTTGCCGTTTGTGAAGACCTCGGCAAGTGGCAAACTCTGACCACTGGTAATGGCTTTCCAGGGATCTGTGTCCCAAAGGATTCTAAGGTCCCGTCCAGCTGGACCTAGCAGGGAAAAAAACAATCAATAAGCCACCATCAATAAGTCACATGTGTCTGCTGGAAGTATGGTGGCTTCTGTCTTCTGTTTGTTAACGCCTCTCTTTAACACAAAAGGCTTAAATTAAATCAACATTTCCGTCATCTTCCAAAAATATCAACATGCTGTGACTTTGAATGCAGCTTCTTTGTTCATCCACTAAGGCTTGGGAAACATTGGTTAACTCCTTAAATGGGCAGAGGGGCCTCATAGTGTGCCTAGGAAGGCCTTCACGTGCCCTACCCCGAGCCCATTTTGTAGGAGAAGAGATGAAGGCCAGAGAACAGACACGCCTGGCATAAGTGACACGAGAATACAGGTGTGAGGTCCTTGTCTCCGGGCCCTGGACTTCTCCGGGCTGGTTCGGTGCCCAACCAGGAGCTCGCCCTGAGGGCTGGCAGGGGCACTGGCCGTGACTGAGGGCCCAGCTCCCTGACGATGATGTCTCGGGCGAGCCCCTGCTGGTCAGGGGGGCTAGGGTGGACATGGGGGCTGGTGCAGAGGGGCTGAACTGTGCCCACCTGCTTCTCATCTCTGCTCTAGCAACGCTGCCCTCCGGCAGCTCAGGGGAGTGGGGTACAGAGATCTCCCCGCCAGGGAAGCTCTAGACCTTGGGGTCTAGAACCAGGGCCTGGCTTCATGGACATGCCACCCAGACAATCACCCAGGGCCCTGTGCTTATCTCAGTGCTCTGCTGTCACTGTCCTGAAATTCTTGATGCTTCGGCAACGTGGGGCTCTGCATTTTCACTTTGCATTCACTTACATTCCACTTTGCTGGCAAATTAGGTTGCTGGTCCTGCCTCCGACTCCTGATTGATTCTGATTTTCAGAATCTGGCACAGTTGTCCTGCTGTTAGTGACCTTTGTGCTGGGGAGGCCAGGGAGGCAGGGAAGGAGCTGCCACCATGTGTTGCCGAGCACTTTCCATGTCCTGGGCTCTGTGCTGGGGGCCAGAGAAGCCACAGCGGCCGCCCCAAGACTTTGGGAGGGGAGCAGGACACCCTAGCTGAAAACAGGTCAGGGGCCCAGCCCGGATTGTCCGTGCATGGTGGGCATAGTTACCCCCACCTGGGCTGGGGCTCCTTGTTGTGGTGACACCTCAGGAGGACTCTGGGGTGGGCTGGAGGGGCCTGTGAGAGGGTGGCATTCAGGGGCAGGGTGTGCTTGAGCCCAGGCACAGAAGCAAGAAGCTGCCAGGAACATCAGGGGATTGGCTTGGTGGGGTTAGAGCAGGGAGAGGGAGAGGATGCGCCTGGGAGGGGACAGGATGGAGAGGGGGCACAGGAGCCCGTGTGGGAGGCCAGGGAGTCTTCCCACCTGGATTCCTACGGCTGCGGAAAGTTTCAGGCAAGGCCAGGACCTTATCAGAACTCGGGCTGGGTCATCTGGTGACTGTGGGGCTCAATGTGAGGGGACAGAGGAGTCAGGACAGCAGGATGTGCAGAAACCTGGCTCAGAGAGGTGGTGGCCCCCAGCAGCAGAGAGAGGTGGCCTGGGACAGAGTTTCCAGAAGGAGGAGGTGACTCAGCAGGAAGGGGTGATGGAGAGACAAGGACAGTTCCAGCTTCTGGTGCTGCACCGAGTCACCAGCTGCTTCCCTGTTGGGGCCTGACGTCCCTGACCCCTGGGGATGGGCCGAGAGAGTGGTGGCCGCGTTCCTAACAGAGCAGTTGACTCATTTGTCCTGTACCTCCTGAGAGCCCAGTGCAGGAAGGGGGTGGCCCCGGGTGGTGGGGCCAGCAGAGGGCAGGGTGGAGGCCCAGGCGCCAAGGCCTCCGGGCTGACAGGGGCTGCAGGGCTGAGGGGACACCCCTCCCCCAACACACACACCGAGTTCTCAGTGAGGGCAAATGCCTGTCGCCTGTGAGCACCCTCATCAGTGGTGTGACTGTCACCGTGCTTCACCCTGCGGGTCTGGCTTTGCTCTGAGGCCGCAGACCCCGGGCAGTGTCTCCCCTCCCGTCTGCCCGGGCTTTCAAAGACAGCTATCTTTCCTTGGCGCTTTGGTAGGGTTAGGGTACCCTTAATGTAGCAGAGCCACAAATTCTATCACCTGTCTTCAGTCTGCATTAAATCAAATAAGATCTTCGTGGGGTGTGCGCAGAGGGAGCTCGGCCAGCATGATTTCTTTAGGAAACTAAGTTTTAGACGAGTAGTTTGTCAGTGGCCTGTTCGCTGCTTAGCAATATGAGTGAGTGTAAGCTTTCCAAGTGTGAAAATGGTTCTTTACGGAGCTTAAAAGCCCCCAGTAGTTTGGCATTATTCTTTTTGAATCATTTCTTTATAAAATATATTCTTTCAGCCACTGTCCAGTTGTTAGAAATCAGTTTGGACAGGCGAGGTGTCACTGTGCCTGTAAACCCACTTTGTGGTTTTGCCAAGTTCTGTCCAACACACTCGCTGTCATCTTTGTTCACGTGTGGATCGGCCTCGCCCGGGGCTTTCCCGTGGTCATTACTCTCTGGTCTCTGTTCTTCTCTTCGTTTCTGTGGGGTTCAGGGAAGAAGGCAACGTGGGTTTCAGCTCTGCCTCTGCTTCTGACCCCCGGCTTGGTCACAGCCAGCTGGGAGACCCCAGCCTCCCTCTGCCTGGGTACCGAGGGCTCACGTGGGCGGCCTGGCCAGTCGTCGGAGGCTGGCTATGTGGCCTTGCTAAGTGACCTTGGCCCTCAGAGCCTGTGTCCCTCTCTGTAAAGCAGAGATGGTGACATTTGCCTCAAAGGGTTGTTGTGATGGTTGTTTGAGGTCATGGATGTGAAGTGCTTGGTGCTGGACATGCTGAACGGGGCACCCAACATAAGGCACCCAGGATGGGGTACACGGGACTGGGTGCGCCCCGCTGGGCACCCAGGATGGGGTACACAGGACCAGGTACACTCTGCTCGGCACCCAGGACAGTGTACATGGGACCAGGTGCACCCCGCTGGGCACCCAGGATGGGGTACACGGGACCTGGTGTGCCCTGCTGGGCACCCAGGACCAGACATACAGGACTGAGCTCCCAGCAAGGCTGAGTTTCTGCTCTTTTTGTGGCTGTTGCTTAGTGATACGAAGCCAAGGTGTGGAGGCTGAGGAATTGCTGGCTTGGTGAGGCCAAGGGGCTGCAAGCCCAGGAGGCAGTGCAGGCAGCTCTGTTGTGGGCTCTGAGGACAGCCCACCTGGCAGGAGCAGAGCAGGTGACGGCCAGGATGGGGGACCTGGGGTGGGGGGTGCTAAGCACCCACTAAGAGTGACAGGGATTTGGGGCAAGCATATGAATTCTCCTAGTGTGTTGAGTGTGGGGCACCCACGGCAACTGTCCCCCAGTCCAGGAAGCCAACCACGCAGGAGGAGTTGGAGGGGATGGAGATCAGTGAAACATGATTGACCCCGCAACCCAAGTGTCCTGCGTTTCTGCAGGCTGGGGGCTTCCTGCAGGTGTTTACACTCAGAGGGAAGAAGCAAGTCCTCTACCAGAGGCTGGGAAACATCACACCCTGGCTTCGGCTCTGGGTGCTGAGTCACATAATGCCAGCTGGGCCACCTTGGGCCCTGCCAGCTTCCCTGTGGGCAGCAGTGTGGACAGCTGGAGAGAGGCTGGGAGGGCCAACCCACCCTGAAAACCGTTCCTGAGCTTTAGCCTGTGGGTGGCATTGATAGTCTTGCTTTTTGCCAAAGGAGAAACTCAGACCTGCTTGAGCTCTTTGCTTGAGAGTGTGTTTGCAGGTGGCTGTCCCCAGACCCCCTTGGCAGGGGCGGGGGGGCAGGCCTCTCTGCCTTCCAGGCATTTCCCTGGATGCCCAGCAGGGGGCACTCACCCACTGAAGGTGGACCTCGCTCTCCTGTAGATCTCTGTGCCACCCCTGGCCCCCCCACCCAAGGGGTCCCCATGCATCCCTGGAGCAGGTTCCTCGGTTACTGGTCAGCCTTTTGGCCTTGGCTTTTCCCAGCCTTGGATTTTGGGGGTGTATCCCAGCGAGTTGGCAAAGCTGAACTGTAGTTGTCAATTCACAGAGTTCATTGCCTATAAAAAAATGATCAGAAGTGATCATACAGAAGTCCCCTCGCCGAAATCAAAGAAGACAATTCACAGAGTGTGTTGAGCACCCACACTGCCTCCATCAAAGAAATGCCAGGTTCTGCTAGAGCCTAACACAGGGGGGCATTCATGACTGGCTGGGAGTGAGGGGGGTGCTGCTGCATTGGGCGGGGGTGCCTCTGCTGTGTCTAAGCAAAGGCCCTGGGGGAACAGGGCAGGGATCGAGGAAGCAGTGTGCAGGGTCTTTAAATAGCCCATTCCATGTGCCTAGGGTGGGCTGGGGGGGGTGAGGGGGGCTGATGAATGTGCCATTAATGAGCCAAGTTCCACTGGGAATAATTCTCCCTTTGTGTCTCCCAGCACCTCCCCAGCTGCTGCCTGTGCGGATCTGGTTCCCCGAGCCTCAGAACATGTGTCTTTGCCTCCTGCCCCAGCTGGTGATGGACTAGAAGCTTCCACTCTCTCCCCCAAGGGGCCGGCCAAGGACTTAAGCAGGTAGGGTATCAAGCTTTCCCTCCACGGTTGCTGCCCCTGGAGAGGAGGGGCCTGGTGGTCTCTGCCCCCTAGGCCCTGGAGTGAGCCGCATTTGGGATGGCACCAGCAAGATGTGGACAATTTGGATCTGTGATGCCATAAATAATCATTTGGGCTGTAGTCAGTCTGAGGTGTACTCCTGCAGGCAAGTGTCCACATAACAGTGGGAATATCCTGCGTGAGCAAGCAGATTATCAGGGCTCTCCAGAGAAAAAGAACCAGTAGGATGTGTATATATATACATAGATGGAGAAATTTATGTCAAGGACTTGGCTCATGTGAATATGGAGACTGGCAAGTCTCTGTGCAGGGGTGGCCGGCAGGCTGGAGAGCCAGGCCTGAAGCTGCCGCTCCTGTCTGGAGGCCACCTGCTGCCATAATCCCTCTTCTGCGGGGGACCGAGGGCCTCACTTATTCACTCATTGATTTCTATCAACATGGACTCATGGTTATCTATTTTATACCTTGGGTCATAATATAAGACTATTTTTCTTTACTCTTTATTTTTTTGCCCACCTTGTTTTAGCTTTGGCCATCGGGCCTCTGACTACTAGGGCTTCGCTTTGAGAGCGTCCAGAAGGCCCAAGGCCAGTTAGAGATACAATCAGATTTGCATTTTTATTTTTAAGTTTTATTTAAATTCAATTTACCATATAATATAACAGCCAGTACTCATCCCATCAAGTGCCCTCCTTAGTGCCCATCACCCAGTCACCCCACTCCCCCACCTACCTCCCCTTCTCCGACCCTTTGTGTCCCGGAGTTAGGGGACTCTCATGGTTTGTCTTCCTCTCTAATTTTCCCCCAGTTTCCCCTCCTTTCCTTGTGGTCCCTTGCACTATTTCTTACATTCTGCGTATGAGTGAGACATATGATAATTGTCTTCCATATGATGATTGTCCTTCTCCAGTTGACTTATTTCACTCAGCATAATATCCCTCGGATGTAAATGGTGGGTATTCATCCTTTCTAATGGCTGAGTGGTATTCCATTGTATAAACAGACCACATCTTCTTTGTCCATCATCTGTCAAAGGACATCGTGGCTCCTTCCACAGTTTGGCTATTGTGGACATTACTACTGTGAACATTGGGGTTCAGGGGACCCATGAGTTCACCACATCAGTAGTGCATTTGCTGGGTCGTATTTTTAACTTCTTAAGGAACCTCCACACAGTTTTCCAGAGTGGCTGCACCAGCTTGCATTCCCACCAACAGTGTAAGAGAGTTCCCCTTTCTCTACATCCTCAGGGCAGGCCTGGTTTCAGGACTGACCAGGGCCCCTGTATCCTGAGGCTCTGTGTCCTGCCCAGTAGGCCAGGATGGGGCCAGGTGTGGCCATGGTTCCATCACCTGACTTCTGCCCTCCACTGCACCTACAGGCTGTTGCCAGGTTCTCTCTCTCTCTGTGGCTGCTTTCAGCCACGGGGCTGTGACCTAGATCCACGGATCCAAATAAAACTTGTCTTTGCCCCTCCGGTGGGTCCCTGGAGGTTTTCAAATTAAGTTTCAAAAATGCACAGATGAAAATTTCATTTTGCTGAAATGGAAGTCGTTTTTGAACGAGCCTGGTCCAGAGTCTGAGGTCGGTACTGGTCTCGGGGTTCAGAGGTCCATCCTGCCTCCGTTCCCATTTCCAGCCAGGCTTTTTCTGATGGAGGAGGGCATGTGTTTTCGCTGTGTGCAGGCAGGGCGTGGTCCCCCCCCCCCCCCACCTCTGTGGCTTTGCCTTTCCCTCTTTGGGCTTGGAGGGGAGTGGCAGGGCAGCAAGACCCGGGGGCACATCTTATTACGAAGTCGACAGATGTTCTGTTCTTGCAAGCATGCTGGGCGACTTCCTGCTGCCTCCTTCTGGCTCTAATGGCTGCTGTGGAAATGACACAGCCCCACCTTCCCTGCACAAATGGCTTGTCTCTGGGTTTTCACACTCCTTCCCTCCCCCTACACCCGCTGGTGATCATTAGGACACAAGCCTTTGGGAGAACAGATGTGACTTTGAGAGAGGCCTGGTGGGGGAGAGAGAGCTTCATGTCTGACCCTGCCTGAAGCAAAGATCTTGTCCTGGGAGGTTCACTGTCCGTTGCGATGGCCCGGCTTTGGGCCTGTCTTCTGCCTCCAGCCCTGCCCTCAGCAAACCCCCAAATTTTTTGATTTTCGAAGATGGTCTGGAGAGCATCATGTAGTGATGAGTTGAGTTCCAGGAGGCTGAAGCCAGGCAGAGAGTCACAATAAAGAATTTCTAGCGAGGCAGGTCCAAAGCCCTCACTCATGCCAAGGCTGCCACAGCTGACCATGTGTTTTTGGACCCTCGGGAGGCTTGTGGCAAAGAGCCCAGTGTGTTGGCACATGGGCCAGGTGGGTGTGAGCCTGAGCAAACTACATCCCTGTTCAGAACTGACCTGCCAGTGGCCTGCGGGGGACCGCCGTCCCGAAGGAGTTGATAACTTGGAAGCCTGGCCAAGGGCTGCTTGGATAGATCTGGAAGGAAACAGATGGGAAAAACAGCTTCTTGCAAGGAGGAAGTGGTTCCATGCGGATGTAGGAGGCACAGGGCACAGCACCCCTAAGAAATGCTGCCCTGAACTCCAGCCTGGGTTGGGGCAGGCAGGTGGCCTCCTTGGCTCACAGGTGAGATGTCCTGTGGCCCCTGGCTGCATTGGGCAGCCCTAATTTGCTCGCATCTCTCTATCCACACTTCTCCCAGACTTAAGAGATCTTCCCGGTGCTGGAGGGAGTGCATGTCCCCCTGGCCCCACCCTGGGTGGTGCGCACCCTCTTCCGTGCAGGTTAGAGACGTGAACCCCTTGAAAAATGCCGCACATCCTTGCACTCAGAGCCCGTGCGTCTGCTGGGTCACAGCTCAGTGGTTAGTTTTGTAGGCGGGGTCAGGGCCATCCTCTCTGTTTTGAGGATGTCGGGTTGCTGCTGCTGTCAACAAGGTGCTGTGCAGAGTACATGTGAGTCTAATCCTGCTCGACCCTTATTTACATAAGCCACATGTCATTGTATGCATTCTCCTGCCTGAAAGGCCACTTAAAAAAAAATTATTTATTTGAAAGAGAGCAAGAGCGACAAGGAAAGGGAGAGAGAATCAGAAGCAGACTCTACACTGAACACAAAGCCCAACGTGGGGCTCGATCCCAGAACCCAGAGATCATGACCTGAGCTGAAACTGAGACTTGGACGCTCAACCGCCCAGGCCGCCCAGGCACCCCCTGAAAGAGCACTTCGTCCAGGGCAGACTGGGCATGGATGTGCTGTAGAGTAGCACGCTCCTGGTAGGCTGAGCATAGGCCAGCCCTCCTGGGGCCTCTGTCTCCTGAGGGGGCCGGTGTTTGAGTGGCTGCACAGGCCTGCTGGAAGCTCCACCTTGCTGGCTTCAGCAGAGGAGCAGGGTGGGGGGAGGCCGTTACCACAGCAGCGGAGGCAGTAGAAGGTGGCAGCCTCTGTCTGTGCAGAGCAGGTGTGGCGAGACGGGACCCAGGACCCTAACTGTGTCATTTCTTTTTCCTCCTTAGGGAAGGAGAGTGGGCAGCTGGGGGGGGGGGGCTTCTCTGGAGCACAGCTGGGAGAAACCGCAGAGCTTCAGCTCTGTGACCTCAGCTGGACTGGAGCCCCGGGACCCCGAGAGCAGCCTGGAAGGGAGTCCGACACGATGTGGGCTTCAGTGAGGAGCAGATGGTACAGGGGAGCTGTGAGGAGCCAGGGAGGGTGTGGCTGGGGGTGCCCAGCGCAGCTTCTGGAGGGTGGAAGGTTTCTGGGAGTTCCCACTCATTCCTGGTAAAGCCCTTGGTCCCATATTAGGTTGGCTTCCATGTTATAAGTTTGGATTTTTACACTCTAATTAGGGGGCTGCTTTTCTTCTAAGCTGGGTGTACATCTGCCTTGGAGCCCCCAGACCTAGCTGGAGGTAGGAAGAGGGAAGTTGCTAGCAGCAGGCTTGATCATAGACTGCTCGAGGGGAGGTGGAGAAATTAGACCCGCAAGGCGACCAGGGTCCAGGGAGGGAGGGTGAGAGAAGGACTTTGCACCAGAACATGCCTGGCTCGGGGCACCTCCCTGCCTGCGGGTCTGCTGCCTTTGTGGGCAGGTTAGCTTCTCTTATACTCATGAGATGTATGAGATGAAGTCACAGGCCTGATGCTGCAGCTGCAAGAAGGTGACAAGTGCTCTGAATCTAAGCAAATCCTGTAGCGTGGTCTCCTGCTTTGTTTCCATCTAAACATCTGTCCACTCACCCATCCATTCTTCCATCCATCTGCCCACCTAGCGTACAGGTCCTAGGCTGATTCCGTGCTATGTCCCATGTGTGATGTGTTGCCGGGGAGGAGCCACACGTGCCACGGCTTTGCAGGGAGGTGGAGAGGCCCAACAGATAGTTTTAGGCCACGGGGCAGGACAGGCCTGGACCGATTGGAGGGGGGCACACAGGTGCTCAGGGCAGAGCGGTGAGGTTAGTGACAAGGAGTGGCAAGTGAGGTGGGTGGTGGACAGGTTTGGAGGGGCCCGCAGCCAGGGTCCTGGGGGTTTGCTGGGATCCACAATGTGAAAGGAAGATCATCCCCTTTTTCCTTCCTTCCTTCCTTCCTTCCTTCCTTCCTTCCTTCCTTCCTTCCTTCCTTCCTTCCTTCCTTCCTTCCTTCCTTCCTTTTCTTCCTTTTCTTCCTTCCTTTCCTTCCTTCCTCGTGAGAGACACACAGGCAGAGGGAGAAGCAGGCTCCATGCAGGGAGCCTGACGTGGGACTCCATCCTGGGTCTCCAGGATCCCGCCCTGGGCTGCAAGCAGCACTAAACCGCTGAGCCACCAGGGCTGCCCCTCATCTTCCCTTTTATTTTGTTTTATTTTATTTTATTTTAATTTTTTTAAAACATTTTTTTTTATTTTTTATTTATTTATGATAGTCACACAGAGAGAGAGAGAGGCAGAGACATAGGCAGAGGGAGAAGCAGGCTCCATGCACC